AACTCAATACTTAAAAACATGAATAATTTATATAGCTTGCCTTTATTAAACTAAATTTGTTGCGAAGATTATACTGCTGTTAATTACTCGAAAATCCACAAAAATTTAAGCATATTTTCTATACAATTCATTAAATAGTTGAATTCATTGCCAATGTTATTAGTTGGTCTCATAAAATCCATCATTACATAAGCATTTCTTTTAAGCTTAATCTAAGTGTCTGATTGTTTATCTACATAATTTACATTCATAATTATGGGAGCATTTTAGACAAGTAATATTGCATTCTAGATATAAATAAATCCTTACATTCACATTATTTATTCAAAGAATTAAATAATAGGATTATGAACACTAACATTAATTACTTAGCAATGATAAATGAAGACTAGAGTCACATGTTAAGCAATTTTTAGGCAATAAAGAACAAGTTAAACAAGATTTTTTCAAGTAATTCACAATTCTTTTTAGTTGGAATATTTAAATATCCTTATAAGCATTGAAATATATTTCAGGTTTTAATGTTCTATAATTATCAATAAAACATGTTAAACAATGAGTGTTTACACAAACTACAAGTTAAACAAGCTTTATTGCAAAACTTACATGATTTATCTACATTAGATTCAAACATTCCATCTGTACAAATACAAGTAATATATTTCAGATATTGTAATTATCCACAAGAAGTACAATTATTAGTTGATTGTCATTACATTTTAAGCAACGTTACTAGCTTACATCATAATATCCAGCACATTTGCAATTATTTTATATTTTTCTAGTTTAAGGACATGATTAGTACTAGTAATATTAATCTATACAGCTTAGACATTAAATATCACACTTTTCACACTCAACTGATTGGCCATTATCCGAATAAACACTTACAAGTATTATTATGGATGGCTCTATTGAATATTTTTGAATCTACACATGAAACAAAAATTAGAACCTCCTAAACTGCAGTTTTAACAGGAATAGCAACATTTTTAGCAATTTTCAATACCAGAATAATAATATCCTATGTTGCAATCACATGTGAAAGGTTTTTCATAATAACTTCTATTTGATTCAATAGAACAAATCTCACATTTAGTTAAAATATCGTTGCATCTAACGCATGAATAATGGAATTCTATAAATCATTTTTGTAATAGATACTTTGACAAATTTCATTTTACCCTTTATCACAATACCTTTAAATATAATAGCATTTATTTAAACTAGAAACTAATATTCTAAAGGTATTATTTTGGCTTGAAGTACGGCTGTCAAACTACTACTTACAATATTTTAAATAAAATTTATTATTACTTTAAACATGTATCGAAATATCCATTTTACAGACACAATTATTTCCTACTTAATATCTATTTTCATTTCCATAAAAGTAAGGCAATCTGCTTCTTTGATACCTCACAAGATCAGCAAGAATAATGGCATTCTGATGATGATTGAATTTAATACATTAACATTTAACTAAGCTGTTAAAGTCAAATGTATCTTTTAATAATTTTTACAAAAGCAATACTCTTAAACACCATCAAAAATTTTAGCGGTACATTTACAAGTACAAAAATTCTATACTTATATCTATCATCATTACCAGAAGTACACTTATGAAATTTGTTTATTTTTAAACTATAACAGAAGGCACTGCAAACCAAACATAAATCTGATAATAACTCATGCTTTCCTAAACTTCCATTTCAAAGTAATGAGGTTTACATTTGCATTAATCCAGTTTAAGCTCTCTATTTGCAATAGAATCATATGAATGATATTTGCTTCCCCATAAACAATACCTTTAGGCTTTTAAAAAAAACTTGAAATGATTTAATTAAATCTCTGTTTATTCAATTTTAGACAGGATTGAGAGTAACAAAATTATCTATTGATAGAAATCTTAACAGATTTTTTCTTTTATGTGAGCTTTTACTGCAGGCATGATTCATTCAATTAAAATAAATAGGATAAGACAAAATGATCAGAATTTTTTACCAATAAATTTAAACCAATTATTAAATTTCTTATTAGGAGGAAGGTAAATAGAATATATTTCAATTTTAGTTGATATTGATATTTTATATTAATTTTCACAATAAGCATTATCTATTTTATTTTTATTACTCCATGATAAACGATATGTGTGAGGAGCATCCAAACAAAAAAATAATTTACATGTGTTTATATAATGACACTTGTAGGAAAAAGCTTTGTGAAATCTGTTATCAATCACATGAATAAATAACTTCATAACCTAGCAGAATAATTAAGATAGAGTGGATCACACATAAATCTACTGTAAAAAATATTGAAAAAGAATTTGTCTAAATGTTAGAATAGAAACAAAATTTAAATAAATTTAAATTAAACCAGATTATTGAATAAGTAATAAAATTCTTTGAGGAATTGAAAATGATTAAAAGGTTTAAAATGGATAATGATGAATATTTGGATGTTACTGAAAATGAATTCTAAATAAAAAATATGCTTGAATAGAAAAAGACAATACTTATAATCATTAATTAAATTCTATTAACACAATAAGAGATCTTAAAGATTAATAATCAAGTGGATATGCAAAGCCTGATATATTCTACATATTAAGAGAATTATAAGTAAATTTATAATTGTTATTTTTTCAGTAACACAATATTATAAGGGCCCACTATATTTGGATTTCTACATGGAAAATATGTTAGAATTATAGATGGGGTTTAAAAATAAGTAAAATTAAATTCTATAAAAGGGATACAATATGCAGCTGAGCCAAATAATAGGTAAATGGAGGAAATATGGAATTAAAACAAAAAAAATTCAAAATTAGATGAGTATTTAAATTGAATAAAATGAAGAAGAGATAAGTTATATTAAGGATGGATAAATATAAAAAATAGTATGATAAAAAATTTATCAAGAATAAAATCAGGAGATTAGGTTGAATTGAACATTCTTTAGATCACAAATATGGATTGGTTTGGAATATATAAAAATGAAAAGAAATATGGAAGATGGCATATCTTATGGAGAGGCGATAATTTGAATATTGGTGGTGATTTTAATGAAAATGGAGCTAAAACTGGATAGTGGACAGAGATATTTGAAAATTATCGAGAGTATGATTATATTTTGATTATAAAAGCATTTTCTAAGTTTATTTTAATGGACAATACTAAAATTGAATAAAAATTGGATAATGGAATATAGATTATAATAATAATTCTATGTATATTTGATTCTAAACTATAGCCCTTGTGGATAATACGATAACGAAGGATAAAAATATGGATAATGGTTAGAGTTGCATGAAAATTTTAGTAAGTATAATTACTTAATTTAAATTTAGTCAATTTTAATTCTATTTTACTGGAGAATATTTAAGAGGAGTAAAATGAGGTATGTGGGCTATTATATAAGGATTAAATTATAACAAAACTATGTAAGTATTATTAATTGATTTAATTATTAGAGGAGGAGGTATATATAATTAAAAAGGAATGAAAACAGGGAGTTGGATTGAATTACATGAAAAAAGTTATATGGAGTAATTTATTCTTTCTATCAGAAAGTTAAGTAGTGATTTAGTTTGGAAATTATCATAATGGAAGAAAAATAGGAATATGGAAGAAAAATAGGAATGTGGAATTCAAAAATAACTAACCAAATTTTTGGATATTTTTAGAACAATAATCATAAATACAACGAATTATTCAGAGAAAAAGGGAAATATGATGAAAAAGAATAAAAATGTGGAAAATGGGTTGAATACCAAAAAAATTTTATTAATAAGTTGACAATGAAACAGGATTATATTAATCAAATATCTTGGATTTGGGGGATTATAAGGATGGACAAAAGGTTGGATAATGGGATATTCTAGTAGAATCTGAAGATAATGGTTCTTAGTTTAAGTCTAATTATTTTATAATTTTAAAAGAGGATTTGGCTTTTATGATAATAGGGGTATGAAAAATGGGTTATGGATTTAATTAGATAAGAACTATAAAGAGTAATTTTATTTGATAAAATTTAAAGTTACGATGAAATAGTATTGATTGGCTCATATTAGAATGGAAACAAAATGTAATTAATTTAATATTCTTAAGTGGTGGAGGCTAGTATGATTTAAATGGAATAAAATAAGGAAAATGGCAAATATTCAAACTCTTGTCTGGGTTTCAATTTTATTTATTTTTAGGCCTAAATATGAAGTACTATTGTCTTAATTTACTGGAATGTATCAAAATGGAAATAAAATTGAAAAGTGGAATTAATATTATAATTTCAATTTTTTTGGAAGCCTCTTATAGTAATAATTATATTAGATTTTAGGTGTGGAGGATATTATGATAATTTAGGGATGAAAACTGGAAGATGGAAGGAACAAAAAAATAAAGATATAGATATTTTACACTATAGTAGTGGATGCGAAGTTGTTCATGAAGGAGAATATCAAAATGGCATTAGAATTGGGAGATGGGATATTTATGACAAATATTAAAAATATTAACTGTAGGACATATAATTATTTAAATTAGTGGTGGAGGAAATTACCTTTAGAATGGTATTAAAGATGGCATATGGACTGAGCTCTCCTTAAATTTTACTTAGTTTTAATTAAAAATAATAATTAGCCGTAGTTGCCGAGTTTGGGAAGGATTATACAAAAACGGTTTAAAAATTGGACAATGGGAGTTAAAGGAGAAAAAAGGAAAAGAGCTCAAATATAATTAAATAATACAATTCAAATAGTAGAGTATGCTTGTATAATAATGTAGCAATAAAGATAGATTAATAAATGCAGATTTCAAACAGTATTTATTTATAAATTATTAAGATTGATGAAATTACATTGAATATAACTTTTTAGGATAATAAAGAAGTTAACTAAAGAATAAGAAA